CCATCGCAGGGGTGCCAGTGTCTCCATGAGCAGTGACCATGGGCCACTGAGACCTCTGGGGAAGGACAGGGGACAGGGAATGAGAGCCTGGGGCTCTTCCTCAACAAGGCAGGACAGAGCCAGCAGTGGCTTGGCTGCTGCTCACAGGGAGAGGAGGTGTTGGCAGAGAAAGCAGCTCTGGCCCAGCACCCCTGCGTGCCACGGGGGTGTCCCTGCAGTGCCAGGGCTGGGTGGGAGGCTTGTCCTGCTCGTGTGCTCACCCACACGTGTGTGCAGAGCTGCTGCCTCCCCCCCTGCCTGGGCACTGCCCTGTCCTCGCTGTGCTGTGCCAGCTCTGCCACCCCTCAGTGCCACCAGCCCTGCTGCAGTGAGGGGGGATGTGCTGCCTTCCAGCCTGGCTCTAGGGACCCAACCTGTGTCCCCAGGCACTCCAGCCATTAGGAGACCCCACAGGGATGTCACTCAGAGGGGGAAAAAAAAAACACCAAACCCCAAACCAAAAAGAGAGGGGAGAACAACTGTAACCTGGTAACCAGAAGAGCTGTGGGAGGAGAAACAAACACGAGATGATTGTATAGATTGAAATAAGTATAGGAAAAGAAAGGGCAGCATTTCCTGCATGGCTTGGCTCCCTGGGGAGGCTCAGGGAGCCTGGTGGTGGCTGGGCTTGCAGAGGATGGAGCAGGGTGCAGGACAGGCTGCAGCCACGGCTGGCTCAGGGAGGACAGGACAGGACGTGGCAGTCCCTGCTGTCCTGGAGCAGCCTGGCCCCAGGGACCCTCTGGGGAAGTGTCCCAGCCCTTGAGTGCAATCCAGATACTCTCATCCTGCGAGGGGCTGGGCCAGCAAAGAGCAGCTGGAGGGTCCTGCCCAGCCCGTGCCCGATTGCTGCCCACAGCTTGGGCTCTGCCAGCACATCGTGCCAACAGCAAGAGAAAGGTCAGACCCTGTGTGTGATTCTGCTCCTCTGCTTCAGTCTTTTCCATGCCCTTAGAGGTGACAGGAGGCACAGCAGCAGCTGCCTGGGTGCTGCAGGGACTGCTGGGTCCCAAAATATGAAGTGGCTTTGCCTGGGGAGGGGGTGTTGGTGCTGGACACGAGGTACTCGCTTTCCTGGCGGCACATCCAGACTCCCTGGCCATCCTCCTGGGGGAAGGATGCAGTTAGAGCAGATGGCTGCCAGCAGGGCCTGGTGCCTCTGGCTCTTTTACAGCTTGGAGTGGGAGAGGAGAGGTTTAGACTGCAGGTTATGCAAGAACTTGCCCCAAATGTAGGTTCACCTGTTCTATTTGCACAGCCCTCAGAAGGAGAAGATCTCCTCCAGTAACTTTCGGTGCTGGGAGGGCAGAGGTGTCCCTGAGAGCTCTGGGGCTCCTGAAGGTGCCTGGCAGCTCTGGGCAGTTCCACCCCCAGCAGCAGTGTGGGGTCTGTGGTGACCCAGCTGCTTTGGGGCTGGTTTGTGGTGGGAAGCAGGAAGCTGCTCTGTGGTTTTTGTGGTGTGCAAGGAAGCAGAGGAGGAACTCTGTTGTGTCCTTCCTCTTCTTTGACAGGCACAGTTAGAAATAACAATGGAAATCCTAATATCCATTACAAGCAGCTCCCTGCCTGTGGATTTTCCTTCGAGGCAAAGCTGCCTCTTGGATCTGAGGAGCTCCAGGGAGCACGTGGCACTGCAGAGCCACAAACCTTGGCTCTCTCTGCTTTTGTGCTGGCATTTCCAGCCCGGCCAGGCCCCCCGGGTGTGCCAGGGGGGAAGCAGCAAGGGCAGAAGGGATGGAAGGAGCGTGGCCGTGGGCTCTGCTGGGTCTGGCTGGCTTTAGCAGGAGCAGAGAGCAGCAGGGGGGTCTGGCCTGGCTCACACAGGGCTCAGCCCAGCTCCAGTGCTCCCAGGGGGCTGAGCAGGGCTGTGTCCCCTCCTGTGGCAGAGAGGAGCTGGCCAAGCTGGGAGAGAGACGCTGCTGTAGCCGAGAGGGGAAGAGTGTGGAGGTTTCCATCTGCTGATGGCAGCACGCTGTTTTAGGGTACAGGCTTCTGGAGGAAGGAAGGAAAGAGATTATAAAAATAAAGCTGCAGGTCTGTATTTAGCTAGAAACCACTCCAGGATTATTATTTTTTTTTTGGTAGTATTTGAAGACTGTGCAATAAATGAGCTTGTTCATGAATTTTTTATTTTATACCACTACAGCTTTGAAGAAGAAGCCAGGTTGCTGTGGCATTTCCATAGCTCAGGATCCCTGTGTTTGGGAGGAGAGATTGTAAATCCTCTGTGCCACTGTCAGGAGATTTGTGTGCAGTGCAGGAGCACTTTTGTCTAAGGCATTGATGTGCAACATCTCAAAGTCACTGTGCAGTTGATAAAGACATTGTGACAAACAAGCAAATGAAGTATTTCTTGTAGTGAAGCTTCATCCAGAATAAACAAATGTGCCAAAATTTAAAAATCCTGAATGATTTTCTATGCAAGAATAAGAGAAAATGCATTCAAAGTGTAGCTGCTACTGCCAATGGGAGGAGAAGCTCAGATGCAAATAGCAGAAATTGTGTTTCCAGAGCTACTGATACAATTGGATTTTACTACAGTTTCTAAATGCTGGTAGAGGACAGTGCTGAATATTTGCCTTGTTTCATGATCTGAGGCCAGGAGAGATGGATTAATTGAGTTGGAAAAAAATCATGTGCAAATAAAAAAACCAAACAGCACCCAAACCCCAAAAGATGTGTGTTTGATATCCAGGAGGATGGCTGGGAATAGCTGTGAGCATCCACAGCTCCCAGAGAGGGCAGGATAAGGATGGTCCTGCCTGTCCTGCCTGCCCAGGAGCTGTGGAGTGCCAGCCAGGGTGGCAGCTGGGGGTGAAGATGCCCTTTCCACATGGCAGGCAGTGTGTCCATGGCTCTGCAGCTGCAGCACTCCTTTCCTCTGGGAAAGGAAGCAAGGTGCTGCTTTGAACAGGCACTTCATAATCACTGGAGAGCACTGGGTGTGACAGTCTCCTCCAAACACAATTATAATCACCCCCATTTGGAGCCAGGCACCTGGCTCCCTGCTTTAAACCATGGCTATGATAAGAGGGTGGATAATTTTTAAAAATTACAATTTCTCATGCTGAAATTTGTGTTTCAGAATGCTGTCCTGATGGCCTAGAAACAGCCTGCTTTTGGCCTAATTTATCATAGTTAAACTCCAAGAAGAAAGACTTAATTGTGGGTTTTTTTTGGTGCTTTTGTTAGATCCTCCTATGCAACACGAGCTAGAGGTGGTCAGCAAACTTCAGTGTTTATATCAGTGGATCCAGAGGGAGTGCTTGAGTTGACAGGAGCTTGGCTTGATTTATCTCAAAGACAAGTTTTGGATCAATGAGTAGCACGGAACAACCTCCCCAGTGCCCAGGGCCCTGCACAGATGCATTGGTCAGTGCAGAGCCTTGGCTGCTCTGTGCACGTGGCAGCTGAAAGGAGCTGAGGAGCTCTGGGGGAGGGAGAATTTAGTGGCAGATCACAGCACTGAGAACCATCTGAAGCAGTGAGAACCATGTGAAGCGCTGAGGGCGGGCTGGGCCGTGTCTGGGGCTGTGCTCAGCAGAAATCCTGCATTCCACTGCTCTTCTGGAAACTCGGGAGCAGCAGCTGAGCAGGGCTTTGGAATCTGCTCAGCTGGGAGCTGCTTTACAGGGGCTCAGTTGGTAAAGATGATGTGAGGAGCCTCAGCTCCCATCCCTGTGGCAATCCTGGGTCTGTGCTCAGTGCTGGTTCAGCATCCAGCTGCTGGAGGCTCTTTTGCCTGCCTTGAGCTCGTGCAGGGTGTACTGGAGGCAGAGCTGTGGGAAGATGCTGGGAATGGCTTGGAGAGGCTTTGGAGGAGACTCTTGGAAGAACATCAGACAGGAGTTGGAGCCTTTCAGCTCTTTGCTGCCTCACACTCCAGAGTCACATGTGAGGGACAAAAATCAGCTCAGAGGCACCAGGTCTCCTCTTCCAAGCCCTGTCCTCCCCCCTTCCCACAAAGAATCTGTGGAATTGGTGCTCCTGTCATGCCATGGATGAACCTCACTGACGAAGACCAAGCAGAAAGGATCAGGGCCTGAGGTGCTGCCTTTGGGGTCTCTGCAATGAATGACTTTGCTGCTTTTTTGGAGTCTCGCTTTAACCCCAGTCTGCTGTGGTGGGCAGCTCGAGCTGATGGGCAGCAGGGGCATCCCCAGGTTCTGGCTGCTAAATGTGCTTTGAGAAAAGAGAGCAGAGAAAGCCCCTAACCCTCTGAAATAACCTCCTGAGGGCTGGCTAGCTTTCATCTCCTCTCTGTGTGGAGTGGCCACACGCGGCCGTCTGTGAGCCACTGCCGTGGGTCTGTCCCAGGCACTGCCCACCCCCGGTGGGAGCCAAGGGCTGGGTGATGGATCCTCCTGGCCACGACACTTGGCAGCTGGACAGGCGACTGAGTCATCAGCCTTCGCGGTTTCTCATTTAATCCTGGGGCTGTTGGGATGATTTAAGTGCCAGCAGTCCGGAGAGGAGGTTGCGCTTCTGCTTCCAGCACGCTTGTGGAGCCATCATCGCCTTGCCTGCCTCCCATCCCTACTTTTCCTCGCGGGGGGAGGCTGGGGGTGGATCTGGCTTTGGCTGGCAGCTCTCGATTATCTTGCGAGCAGTTTTATTTCCTCCCGCCGATTGGGCTTTTCCATTGGCTCCTCTTGCTCTCCGTATCGCCTGCTGGGAGCGGCAGATGTCCTGTGCCCGGCGCCGCTGTGCGGGGCGCTCCGGGGGACGCTGCCCGCCCCGCCGGGGCCTCTCCTGAGCCGCCGGAGCCCCGAGCCCACCCATGCCCCCGGGGGGAGCGCTCTGCAGGGGGGGCACGGCCGCCTGCCCCGCAATGTAACCGCGGCCGGGGGTGCGGGGGGCGGCGCGGGGCCGGCCCCGGAGGAGGCGCCGGGGCGGGCAGGGCAGGGCAGGGCAGGGCCCCCCTTGGCCCCCCCATTGCCGCTGTCCCTTCTCTCCCGCAGGCTCTCGTCGCCCGGCGGCTGCGGCGGCGGGGACGGCGGCGGGAGCCGCAAGAGCGGGGTCATTCTGGACATCGCCTCCCTGAAGATGACGGAGCTGGAGTCCGAGGTGCTGCCGCTGCCGCCCCGCTACCGCTTCCGCGATCTGCTGCTGGGGGACCAGTCCTTCCAGAGCGACGACAGGTTCGGGGCGCGCCGCGGGGACAGCGGGGTGCAGGGCGCGGGGACAGCGACCCGCCGGCAGGGACACACGGACCTGGGGCTGTGCCGGGGGTGGGGGGACACACACCTGGGGTGGGGGGACACAGCCGGGACACCGGCGGGGCGCGGAGCTCTCCGCGGTGCTGCGGGCGCGGGGCCGGAGCCGCCCGGCGAGGAGCTCTCCGCGGTGCTGACGGGAGAGGCCGGGGCTGTCCGGGCTGCTCGGAGCCTGGGGCACCGGGATGGGCTGGAGGATCCACCGCCGGGATGGGCTGGAGGATCCACCGCCGGGATGGGCTGGAGGATCCACCGCCGGGATGGGCTGGAGCATCCCGCGGCGTGTGGCACGGCCGGGATGTGCGGGTGGAGGCCGCGGGTGGCTCGGGGACATTTGGGTGCCCCGGGGCTCTGGGTGTGCTGGGCCAGCAGAGCCGGGTGGGCAGCTCGCTGCGTCCTGGAGTCCATCAGGGGCTGGCAAGAGAAGGGACTGATGTCTGGGGGAGGTGTGGGACGGTGAGGGGCTGGTGGAACTCTCCGGGTGTGGAATTTGGGACGGCTCCTCCAGGCTGCCCTCGGATGCTGTGTTGGCAGCAGGGTGACTCTGAAGAGCTGCTGGGGTTGTGGTGCCACTCTCCCTTCCTCGGGATGAGCAGAGGAATGGCTTTTTTGTGCTGAGCACCAGCCTGCTGTTCCTGCCTGGCTGGGATTTATCCCCAGGCTGGGCGAGCAGCAGAGGGAATGCCGTGAGTGGCAAGAGAATTCCATGGGCAGAGCAGTTAAATCAAGAGGAATAGGTGCCTTCCCTTCAACTCTGCTCATATCATGAATACCAGTGCTAATGGGGAGTCAGATTTTTATCTTTCCCCACCAATTAATTGCGAGATGCTAACAAAAGAGAGATGTAATTCTTGTTGGAAAAAACATTTCAATTACTGGTTAGTCCTTGACTAGCTGCTGTGTGCCTGGTACACCTGCACCAAGGCTTTTGTGCGTCTCTCTTAAAAGATAATTTCTTTTTTTTATATGTACAAGTATCATAAAAAAAAAAAAAAGAGTGAATTTGGCTTTGAGACTGTGAATGTGGGTTTTACAAATGTTCTCTATAAGTGTTCCTAACTTTTATCGCTGCATAAAATTGGTCTGGCTCGAAAAGCAATCTGTGATCCTGGAGGTTTTAAAGCCCAGATTTCCTTAACAGACACTTAAACATTAATATAGTTTTATGACACCAAGTGAGAAGTGAGCAGGAAATTCCTGCTGCAGAAAATGTCTGGGTTTGAGAATGGTTGTGATATGGCTCATTTGGTCAAGACTGAAGATTTAATAGTTTTTATATTTAAGTATTTGGAAGCATCTGAAATATGGAAGATGGCAATTGCAGATTGTGTTCTTTATGTATTTCTCTGGTTACACCCCTTAACCTTCATTTTCCTCTAGATTTGAGTCTTTCTGATTCAGCACTTCTCTTTAATTTTAATGTGGAGATACTCTGGGTTGTTTTGTTAATTCATTAGCCCCATTTCTCAAGAATTCATTAGCATTGTTTCTCAAGATATCTCAGTTTCACTGGCACTGTGCTGTTTCCTTGAGTTATTTTATTTCCCCTTCATCTGGAAAATACTGATAATTCCATTGTGTGGGGGCATGCAGATCTCTGAGCCCACATTTGCTGCTCACTGGAGTCCACTTGACTTCCCTGGGAGCTGAGATGAGCTGTGGGCTTTGGGAAATGTTGCTGTTAGACCTAAATTCCAGTCCAAGTCATTAATAATAGTGGGACCTTGTGGCTGAATCAAGCTCGCTGCAGTAATTATGACTAGTTCATTAGCCTGCTCCAAACCCACTGAATCAGGAGCTGCTTTGGACTGGCAAAGAAAATAACGAGGAACAGAAAGACTTTTTGGCTTTGCTGTGCTTGTGGATGATAAGCAGCTCAGAGCTGTGCTCTGAAGGGCTTTGTCACAGCCCTGGCAGGGATGTGATGAGGAAAATCCCTCCTGTATAAACTCTGCAGGGAACCTGGAGGGGTAAAACACAGCTGGCTGGACTTGGAGCTGTAACACTGAAGGAAAGCACCCATAAGGCTGAATATCTCGTTTATTTGTCAAAGCAATGCTTAAAATTAATGTCTCAAGTATCAGATTCTGAACACTGCCCTGGAATGAGTGTGCTGCTGGGGCGAGGAGGTTTCTGGGGTCAGCAGAAACTAAAAGGATGAGAGGCCAAAGGGGAGCCTGGGTTTTGCTGCTTCTGGAGAGTTAAAACTGTTCCTGCTGGAGATGAATTAGTGCATCCTCATCACAGAGGATGCTGAAGAGACACCAACCCTGGAATGAGGTAATGCTGGAGCTTGAGGAGATGAGAGCTCGTTGGAACAAGTAGATAATTAGAGAGCTGTGGTACAGCAGTGGGAGAGAGTGGGTCCAGATAACCTCTGAAACAGAAGGAACTAATCAGTGAATGTGAGGTGGAATGGGTAAATTAGGCTGCTCCTAATTTACTGTTGTTTTTGGAATGTGAAAGATGATCACAGTCGATCTGAGCAGGGCTTGCTCTTTGGCAGGTGGACTGATTGACAGGGGAATTAAATAACACTTTGAACATCCTGTGGTGGATGCAATAAATTGGCCAGGAAGCAAATAGGAAACGGCTGGCTGGGAAAGGAATGTGGGAGGAAAATGGATTTGTGAGACAGAGAGAGAAAAGCCTAATGACAAGCAAATCTAGAGTTGTCAAGTCCAAGTGCTCCTTCCAGGATCATCCTACTTTCTTTGGAGCTCACTACCACGAGAGGGTGGAAGGCTTTGGGCTCAGCTGGGTTTAAATTCTGGGCTTGACATTTCTGCCAGGCAGGTCTCTGGGCTGGAGAAGCAGGATTAGGTGTCATCCAACTCTGAATTCCCAGAGGCTGCAAACAGCTCTCAGGGCAGGACTCTGACTGCTTGGGCCTGGCAGGTGATTTCTGCTTTGGGGAGGGAAGGTTCTCTCTGGAGCCTTGCAGTTTTCTCTGTTGTCTGGCACTACTCCTGCCCACTTCAGAAGTTTCCTTCTCCTTTGGAAGGTGCTGTCAATGTCAGTAGTGGGAGAAAAATGGATTTGTTCTGCTGGCTCCTGGCAGTGCTGCCTTTCTTATCCCGCTGATGTTTTGTGGCCATGAAAGCGCCCGGAGCCTCTGGGATGCACCAGCAAAGGCAGAGTTTGAGATGTTGAGCCTGTAGCAAAGAGAAGGTGAAGAACTGGGGGCACAAACCCCGCTGGGGGAATTCTCTGTGCCAGGGAGCTGTGGGAGCAAGGCCAGGGGTGCTGGGAGGGAGCAGGAGCTGAGCACAGCACCCCCAGAGCTGCCAGGCTCCTGTTCTGAAGTGAGGCTGCAAGAGCTGGTGAAAGGCAGCTGAGAAAGCACATCTGCTGGATGGAAAAATATTGTTTCACACAATATTTATCCATATCCCTTTGATGTTTGCTGTCCTGACTATGGCAGTTTTGGATCTCCTGCATTTCTCTTTTCTTGGACGGTGCTGACAGCTGGGTTGGGGCATGTATTAAAAAAGCCCATAAATAGAATTAAACTGTATCTCAGAAAAGTGTCATTAGGAGTTTATTTGTTGCCTAATTTGAATAGCCTGAACACTTTCCAGAAAATCATCATCAGAAGCCACAGTCCTATTTACAGGAGCGAGAAGTAATGGATGTCACTTTGATTAAGTGCATTTTTCTAAGGCTAATTATCAGCAAAAAATCATTTTGATGGATGAGAACGTTTGGAAAAGCTGCTTGTGCAGAAGAATTCAGCAACTTCTCTATAAAATTTTAACATCTCCTATTTCTAATCAAAGGCATTTTGGATGTTGCATAACCAAGAAAAGAGGATTTTGACAACCGGGGCAAATTCTTTTAAGTTTCTGCTTTCTGTTTTTTTTAGAGTTTTACAACTTCTTTGTCTGTGTGAGCTGACATCTGGTCTTTGTCTCTAATTTGTCTCTAAGTGGTGGCTCTAAATCTTAGGTCAGATTATGCTTGGCATGAGCAAAGTGCTGCAACATCAGCCCTGGAGGATCTCGTCCCTGCAGTTTTCATGCTAACATGCCCCGAGTGACTTCCTCATCAAAATGCATCATTACATTAATGGAGCTGGGTAGTTTTGTGTTCCCGAGGCAGGTTCTGTGGCTGAGTCCTCACTTCATTGCTGTTTGATTTAATGGGCAATTTTCCTCATTTTATTTGGAAGATGCAGATGCCAATTTGAAAATTCCAATTTGTATCCAGAAATTAGAGACATTTATTTCTCTGCTGGTGAGATAATGGCCAATATTTTAAGTCAGTGCAAAGCCTGCTCAGGCTGTAGCCTCTGTGCCAGTGAGGGTTTGTACCTGGAATGAGGAGATTCAGCTCTGGTGCCTGTGTGCCACAAAATTCCCCTGTAGGAGGCTCTTCATCCTCCAGCAGTCTGACCCCTTGCTTGTAAAGCAGGATGGATATTATTGCTAATATCCTTCCCTCAGTAATGGTGTTTAGACCTATTCCCACCATCCCTGGGTGCAGAATCTCTCAAGGGACAGCTCAGTGATGATGCCTGAGCAAACCAAGTAACAAATTTCACTGGTGAAGGTGCTGGGATCCCAGACAGGAACTGGGAGTGCCTGTGAGTCCAGCAGAATGAAATTGCTTCTCCCTTTTTCCACCTGGCAAAGCAAAACCAAAACAGTTATTGATTGGATTAGGCTGTTTCCCTGGGTCAAGGCTTTGTCAAGGCAGTTTCTGTGTGACAGCACAAGCAGGAGTTTGCCCCTGCCAGCCCAGCCAGCCTGCAGCAGGACTGGGGCATCCTGGTGTGTTTCCCCTTGGGTCCATCCCTGCTCTCCTTGGGTCCATCCCTGCTCCCTTGGGGGCCATCCCTGCTCCCCTGGGTCCATCCCTGCTCCCCTTGGGCCCATCCCTGCTCCCCTTGGGCCCATCCCTGCTCCCCTTGGGCCCATCCCTGC